CGCTCATTTAGTACCAGAGGATGGATCTCTGACCTGTGAGCGTCCAGGAGTTTGTGAGTAGCTTATCCGTTTTGTTTTTTTTAAAGTCTCCACAACATAAAGTCCTCTTCTCTTTTTTTAAAATGCTTCACTTTCTGCTAAAACCAGATGTGCTGAGGTTTGACAACACGTACAGCATCTTCCAGGCCAAACGAGTCAGCTACACCGTGGAGGTGCTGCTCTCTGACCAGTTACAGTCACAGAGGGAAGGCCATAGCAACGGGAACAACAGGAAGTCCAGCAGCCAAGCGGAAGATGACGACAGCAGCCAGACACAAATGTGATGTTGGTTAAGTTCAGGGATGTTGAGTGGCTTATGATCGGCACAGCCTGACAAACTTGATGGAAACCCAGCCACATCTGCATTAGCTCACTAATTTTCAGTTGTTTGTAGGGCTGTAAAAGTCAGGGTCTGGTACAGAACTCTGTTTGGAGTGTTTTGTACATCGACCAACCAAAAAAATAAAATAGTTCAAATGCTTGGTTTTTCTTCTCCTATTTTAAACAGAAAAAATAAGTAATGAAAGTGTTCTTAAAATAAAGTGGTTCTCATTGAGTGAGCAGGATACATTATTGAGAAGCAAATTTGTCAACTTCCAAATTAAATAAAAAATTAAGATGCTCGCATTTAAAACTAATTTGGATATATATACTATAAACTGCAGTATGTGCGACTGAGAAGTTGATGTTTTTTTTATCTACTTGGTTTTTGTTGCAGCTAATAACTGCAAAAATCTTGCTCAGGGTGAGAATAATAGTAGCCAGCAGTAAATACTGTCTTCACTCATGTACCCATCTGGATGATTTGGTGCAAAAACACAAATGCTACAACCCTAATTATTATCAAAGGCTATTAAATAAATAAGATAAACATTTAAAAACATTACTATTTATATAAAGCTGCAAATGCATACACTAATTGAATACATTGTCTCTACATTTTCATACTTTATAAACTAGTCATACATAACTAAATAGATGCTAAAATCGTTGTGTGTTTAGATTGTGATTCAAAGGTTTCATGATTATTGAAAGGATTCAGTTGTTGTCATAAGAACTCATCACTTTTGTGATGATAATTTTCATAATGGAAACATTTGGACAGCATGACTGTAATTTTCCAACTGTTTCCTCCTTATGAATAGAAACAAATGGGTATCAACATTAAAAAATATGACTGAAGGTTGTTATTTTCTGCTGTTTAGCATTTCTGTTGCACTTTTCAATGCTACTGATGTGCTAAAGGAGTCTCATTGATGATGGGGAAGTTGTATTTTTGTAAGTAGTTCTGTATGTGAGGCTCTGATTATCCAGCTATTGGTGCATTTCCAAAAAGATTGTCAATTTTTATCATCACTTTTATCATTATTGTGATAACTATTGCAAAATAGAGCAATATATTTAAAATCCACATCATATATTTTTGTTAAACCAAATTTATTCAGTATTTATTGAATAATTTAACATTCATAAAAACAGAGGTGAGAACACAGGTTAGGAAAAGTTGATTGGTGTGTAGTTCAACTGTATGTTAACCAATCAGATGCTAGGGTCTGGATAAACACCAAGTTATAGCTAAAGAAGTTATTCCACGATTGACAGTAGCATGACAGAGATGTGACTTAATTCAATACTTTCTGAAGTTTTTCTGAATTATTTTAAAACGTTAACTATTTTGATTAATAGTTTTATATGTTTAATAATTTGTGTTTTTTTTTATTCTTGTCACATTTACATGGATTTTTTTTCTTCTAGATATCGATTTTTATTTGACAGACCAATATAAACAAATATTTAATAGCACTTAATCATTTTAGATGGCCTTACTTAGTTCTTTATTTGATATATTTAAAATCATTTAGAGGTTTTGACACTGTTTTAAATTAAAGAAGTTAATTCAAAGTGAAGATAAATATACATTCATGAAGAATGTTGATAAAGTAAAACTGCATTTTATGCATAGTATAAATATTTTTCTTCCAATATTTATATATAAATTGGTATCAATTTCTCGTAGTGTAATAAAATCTTTTTAAAAGTGCATCTTGCTTCAACATTATTAAAACAAAAAGCACTGCAAAGATGTTTACATCTTGTTTGAATGTTATTGACATGATGTGTTGTAAATAGTTTGTGACCATGTGATCATGCTGATGTTGAATTCTTCAGTCCTGGTACCCCAGTCAAAGGCACCACTTTCTCTTCCTTACATGTCACTAAAAATAATAAATATAATGAATATGTAAAGACTAAAATATTTTATCTAAACCATATTAAGTCTTAACATTTTTGTTTTGACTCAGCAGTATAGCCCAAGTCGTGTCTTTGAGATGTAAGCAAATCTTTTTGTTTCACAATGTTTTTGTCAATAAATGATTACTGAATGTAATTTTCTGGGGTCAGACTAAAGTCTTTTTTTTTTCCTTTCTGTACTGTTTTTAAATGTATTCCAAACCCTGTCTATATATGGTTTGACCTGTATAATTGATTTTGGAGATAAAAACAAGTGTTAATCTGTTACTGATTTATGTGTATGTGTATTTTAATAACATTTGTTTCCCGATTTTTAAACTGGTCAGGTCATCAGTTGCTCAATAAAAAGTAGTAATTTCAAATATTTTATACCTGTTCAGATCATTATTAAAAAACAGACAATGGATATTGTGCAGCATCCATTGTAGCCTACTGATGAAAAAGGCTGCAGCATAAAAAAAAGCACTCAGAAGTCTTATAATCCTTCCTGTACTTTTTAAAGATACATTCTACTAGATCTATTTTGTCCAGTCACATATTTACAATATCCAGAGTCTGTTTTGATGTCCCCCAAAATACAGTGGATCAATGCTACAAAGAAAGAAGATAAATACTATACGTTTACCTTATCTAGAGGATCACTGGTTCAAACCCCAGCTATGTCCATCATAGTTGTGTCCTTGGCAGGGGCGGAGCTACATGGGTGGCCTAGCCAACATTGGCCACCTCCACCATTTATTTCCCTCAAATACAGATGGTGGCGACAGTAATCCTCTCAAGTGGAATATTCAGAACATTTTAATTTCTCATATATTAAAAATTACTTGACAACAAAAGCACTATGGCTAATTATACACTTTCATATACTAACATTAAAGATAAGTACAGAATTCAAGCAGAAATAGATTTTGTGTTTTATAGGGTAAAGAGAAAATTCTGCATCTCTGTAAGTCATCTAGGAGTCTTCAGTGAAATATATAAATAAAACATATTAAATAATCAATTTATGTAGATATTAGTGTTTGTAAATATAAATTTTATGCATAATGATTACTGATAAAAGTAGGTAAGTAATGACAATGGAAAAGATGTTCACCCAAAACTCAAACCTTAAAGAATTCTACCCACTACAACTTTTATCTAAAAGCACGGATGTTTGAATATATTCGTCTATTAGTAAGCAAAGGCTGTTTTCCTGTTGGATCAGTACAGATTGACTCTGTGGTTCTGGTGCCTATCCGCTTTTGGCCACCCCTCAGTGTACATTGGTTATTGCCTGGCCACCCTTATAAAAAAATTCTGGCTACGCCTCTGGTCCTTGGTAAAGACACTTCATCTGCATTGCGTACTGATGGTGGTCAGAAGGCCTGTGTACAGCTGTCTCACTACAGTCAGTGTGCCCTAGGGTAGCTGTGGCTACCATCAATATGTGCGTTAATGAATGAATGTAAAGCTGTTTGGAGGTTTGGACCTATATTACCAATTCTGCATTTTAGTAGCCTTTAATTCTCAGCGCAAGCCTAACCTTACATTTCCTTCCAGTTTTCTACTGCAAACTGGGAAATATTTACTACATTCCCTCAAAAATTTGTACATTATTCGATTTTATTCTTTAAAACAATCAGTAAAATCAATAATTTTAGACAACTGAATTTGTCTTTAACCATTTGTCACTTAGGATACACAATATATTACCAAAATTAATTTCTATTCTTACTTGTATCTTTCAATCCCAAATATCTAATTATACTAAGTGGCAATCAACAAAAGACTTATTTTTTATGCGTTGAAAAAATACTTTTTGAATACCAGTGCTTGTAAATAAAATCACCTTGAATAATCTCTGTGATAGTTAATAGTTTTAAATTTAAGTGTAATTTATCAAACAAAACAAAAAAACTAGTTAAACAGGAACAGATTTTAAATTTGTGGAGAAATGCGTAACATGCTATACCGTGAAGTACAGTGTTCAACTATTTAGCTTTTGATTCCTTAGAACATAATTTTTATGGCCCCTATCAGGGGTGCAATTTATCTGCAGATGGCTAAGTAATCATAGGGGTGATGGCAACTCCAAAATACATTAATTCAATTTAAAAAAAAATGCAAAACAAATGCTGCAATCACTATAAATTGTTTGGAGCAGAATAAATATGTTTGCAATTCAAAAAAAGCTGAAACCTCACTCCACAAAACAGAGAAGTGCACCACTAGGGGGAGTCAACCACCAAGTCATGTAAGATTCACACCTGCAGTAAATACATTAATGGGATGTCCAGAAAGTTTTAGGGGAAAAAAGAAAAACATTTTTTTTTTTTTACGCACAGCTATAATATCTTAAAATATCATAAATGCAGAATAGCAGTAGCTCTACCTGAGCTTCCCCTAGATGATGAAGCTCACCACAACTCCAGCATCCTTCTGGAGAAAGATAATATCAGCTGCTTGTATCCATGATCTTTTCATTTCGGTTGTGATTCATATTTCATGACCATAGCGGAGAGTCTGTAAATAGATGGACCTTTTAATCTAAAAGCTTTGATTTTTTGGCACAGCTGTTTCCTCACTGCCACAGACCACATCTGAGCTGACATTACTGCGGACGAAGCCCCTATCAATCTGTCCATCTCCTCTAAACACAAACAAAAGAACTGAACCCCATTGTCCTGATTCATAAATATTTTATATACAAAATATTGTTACAAGTATATTCAACATATGTCACATTAGGATATTTATAATTACAGAAATTTACTCAGTTTCACAGTACATACTTAAAAAAAAAATCACAAATCTAGTGGATTTTGTGTACAATAAATACATGCTCTATTCGTAGGCCTTTATATTTTTTTTACAGGTTTGTTCTAAGAAGAGTGCAAGTGTTCAGCTGTCACTCCAGGTATGGCCGATGAGAAAGATCCCAACAGGGTCTTTAACTATAAGCAGACTGTTTTCCGTTTAATAAACGCTGTTGTTAAGTAGCGTTTGAAAAACCAGTAGCAAAATATGGGATTTTTAGAGCAAAAGGCCACATTTGTCTGAAATCAACCTTAGAATGTGACGCACTGAACACTTACTAACCTTGGCACATCGTCAGCACACAACAGGACAGATCTATCTTGTTGTCTATGCTGTAGGTTTAATTATAGGAACACCAGTAAGGTACTGGAAATGGATGATAGGTGCGAGGCCATAACAAATTCATTGCACGGTTGCAGCATCTATATATATAAATTTTTCAGCTTGCAAAAACTCTAAATGTTGTTAGAAAAAAAGATATCTGTTCCTCTATCTCATACAGAAAAAAAACATGGTTCTTCCTGTGTGTTTGGTTTTTTAAATCCATCTCACTTAAACCATTAAACAGTTTTGTGTTTAGTAAAATTAACACAAGCTTGACTGATCAATCATAAAACTCAATCATTAAAAGTAAACAAAGCTACCTTTGGCAGCTAACTGTCCCCTGTTTAAGGCGTCACGAATGAGAACTTGCTACAACATCATGCTCCAATGTGATTTTGCACCATCTACCACCAGCCAATCAATATTTAAAAGTAATTACTATTAACGATAAGAGACCTTTTTTGTTGGGATATGCTGCAGTTCTGCAAACATAATTAAAACAGCTACTTTATATAAGACACATCTGGTGCTAGGAGTGTTAATTGGTGGATCCAAGTTATGAAAGCTCTGATTCACAATAAACAAGCTTGAAACCAATTAGTGAAATAGGAGGAGTTTTCTTTGATTACCCCTTAAGTGGTTATGGATGAGATCTAGAGTAAATGGTGGTACTGATGGCACACAAGATTTTCCTCAGGTCTCTAAAAGCCTTAAAGTTGTAGTTACCTTTATTAAACAGGCCTGCTGTTTCCCCCTTAAAACATTGGCTGTAACTAGCAGACACAAATGTAATATTTGTATTTGGATTAAGATCGTATTGATTTTATTCAGATCAACTGTCTAACGTCCCCTAACTTCATTATCTTCAAAATAAACTCTTTATCTCATACAAAGTAAGCTGTATTATGTCCTCTTTGCCTTAAACAATCAGTAACTCACACATATACGATCAGTAACTGACATGCTGACTCTGTTTTCCGAAAATAAACATGAGATGGGTCATCAACATTTACTCTATTTTAGCAACATTCAGTCCTAAGTCTGAAGCTCTGCTCATCTGCCCTCCTCTGCAGGGCGAGTCTCAGACTTCAGCTTCACAAACTCTTTTGCCACCTCATCAGCCGGCCGCTGAGACAGGATACGCATCACCGTCATGCCCGTCTCATCAGTTTGAATTCGCTGCCCAAGAGGACACCAGCACACACAGCTCTTCCTGTCGGCCACGTCGCGCAGCTGGACCACAGCCATGCCGACCACCCGGTCCGCCCGGCCGAAGCAGTAATCCTTCACTGTCACATGGAGCTCGTAGCAATCTGGAGACTCTTTACCTAGGATACTGTAGAGCAGTAGGAAAAATACATAATCAATGACTAATATGATGCATAGAATACAGGTGCATAGAGGCGTTTCAGATGTCCAACTCACAACTGGAAAGTCTCGTTGAACTTTGCTGTCCAGCAGTTGTTCTTTGATTTAGTGGTGAACTTGCGCTTTTTGTCGGCCAAGAAGGGACCCACCATGGAGACCTCAACAAATGGCCGAAACATCCCAGATGTTTGCCACTTCATATCGTTCACAGCAATTACTATGGGGGCAGACATGAAAGAAAAACAGAGTATAAGCAACAAAAAACAGAGCAGAGTCTTAAGTACTACCTAAACAGAAGAAATGCTACCTATATCTATCTATCTATCCATTTATCGATACATATATATTCATTCAGTATTATTCTATGTGCGCATATTCTCTTTAAGGTCATGTCACAAAGGTGGCAGGTTCAGGAGTGTTATGCCATAAGCCCTGATAATAACTTTTAACTTTGCCGAAGAAAATGTTGTGTTATCCAAACTCTCCAAACTGTGCTCCCCAAACCTCTTCAACCCATCAGAGGGACATGTGATGCTGTTCCCACCATGCTGGGGATAAAAGGCTCTACTCACAGATTTTCCATCCTTTTTGCTGTGGTAGCTCTGCTGTATAGCCACATCAGGGACAATAAAGAGAACATGGCTAAATGTTCTCTTTGAAACCAATTTCTATCATCCAGTTCTTGTTTCCTTGGCCAGGAAGAGAGATCAAGATTCTCAGCTGATAACGGGAAGGCTAAGCGGAGTGCAATAAAGGTTCTCAGTATTATATTTTGACCTTTTAATCTTTGTCATCAAGGAATATGCTGGCAGTGTGACGGATGGTGTTACATAACATTATTATTGGGTAATAACTTTGACATTCATTCACCACTTTTGTTTTATTTACATTAATTTACTATTTTTTATTGCGTTATATATTTATTCAGAAAGGGCAATTACCTTGCTACCTCCTTCATTTTAGAATGAGTGGGGCTTTACATACATGGTCAAATTTAATAAATGGGTTTAATGTTTTGGCAGCTTAAACTCTCACCACGGACGTTGATCTTGCGCTCTTTTCCGAGCAGCATGTCGATCTGCAGCATAGCCTCTCCAATTGGCTTCTCCACACCTGAGCCTGTATTTAACAGACAGCACATTCATATAAGTGACAACACCTCACAGCCTTAATAACTGAATCAATCGTTTTTCATCATGGGTTTCTCACAGCGTCAGTGACCCATTTTATCATTTTCAATTCCATAATTTTGCACCTTTTGCATTGAGCTTTAAACATTTATTTTTGATAAAAAATACTAGTTTATCAACTTCAAGCCTTTGTTTTATAGTAGCAATGACTGAAACTAAGGTAAACTATTTCCTGCAAAACTTAAGTGTATAAACTTATAGACGTATCAGAGCTGAACATCTTTTATTCGTTGCTAAGAACGAGAAGAAATCTTTAGACTCTTATAGGATGTACCTCTGTCAGGTTTAATCTTCTCATTGCCGGTGATTCTGATGCCAATCCCATCGTGCACTGAGACAACAAAGGAAAGAAGTTTTTAATTATTTTAAGAATTATATCACTGGCATCAGATGCATACTGTTTGTGATACCACCTTGGGAGTGTTGTGTGGTGACAAAAGTCTTAATCAGGGCATCGGTGCTCTGGGAGTACAGTGACAGGGCGTAACGCAGCGAAGCTAGCTCAGGACTTTTCTCTACGAATGCTTTCTTCAGGCCATTTCCTCCAGCATGGAAGAATTGCTAAAAGGCAACAAAGGAAAGAAACAGCTTTTTTAATTATCAAAGAAGACACTATTTGGCTTTTAACTACATAAACGTAATGTAATGTAGGTAGCAAACTGATTTTTTCCATTTTCTGACACGCTTAATGCCAAGTGGGATCGCGAGGGGTGATGGTGCCTATCTCCAGCTGTCTACGGGCGAGAGGCAGGGTACGCCCTGGACAGGTCGCCAGTCCATCGCAGGGCAACACAGAAAAAAACGGGACAAACAACCATTCATGCACACCTAAGGAGAATTTAGAGAAGCCAATTAACCTAATAGTCATGTTTTTGGACTGTGGGAGTAAGCCGGAGTACCCGGAGAAACCCCACGCATGCTCAGGGAGAACATGCAAACTCCATGCAGAAAGACCCCGGGCCGGGAATCAAACTCACAACCTGCAAGGAGTGCAGCAAGAAGGAGAAAACTGTGGGCAGCATCTGCAAGGAATGCTACCCCCTGTGCCACTGAGCAGCCCACCTTTATTGTCATTGAATTGAAAATGATTACTTGGAAAATATTGCCTAAAAGTAATGACTGTATACGGTTTTAAAAAGAAAATGATTGTACCTGCATTTTTAGATAATGAAGTGAAACACACAAACAAAATGGATCTATATGGTCTACATCTGGACCATGGAAGGTAAAACAGAAATAATTGGGTATGAGTGTCTGTCGCAGGAATAACTACAGTGAAACTGTCCTGTAAGATTAAAAGAGATAAGGACAGCAGATGAAATAGGGGGAGCAGACGTAAAGTCTGATGGTTTGTTATTCTTACCACAGAAGACTCTTTTTATGTTTTTAATTCCCAAGATAGCCTGATGCATGTTTTTTTTTTCATAGCTCTACTTTCATTGTATGTTTTGTGTTTTTCCCCAGTCCTTATGTTTTTATTCATTTTACTGCCCAGTATTTTAGTCTAATTTGTATCTTCAGGAGTTTTATGAATACAGCAGGACTGAATTGGGGCGTGAATATGTAAAATATTACCCTAGCAGTTCAAATTTCCTAAGACCTACAGCACACAATATGAAATTTACTGTAAAAGATATATCCAGTTGATTCAAAAAGGGCATTATGAAAAACAACTGCATTATGGGTCACTGTGGGGGAACTGTAAACACCCGCCCGCCGTGCTCTGATTGGTCCAGCCTGTCAGGCTGGATAACCAGGCAGCAGATGACACCAATGTTCTTACTTTAAAATACAAACTTTCAGAATTAGTTTAATGATAATTGAACAGTGACCAGACTTTTAATACGCAACCTACAAAGGGAAGGCTGGAAGGAGGGAAGGACATGAAAGAGGAGCTAAGAAAGGAAATAAGAAAGAAAAAGATTTCAATAAGGAGAGGAAACAAGGCACAGAAAGACATCTTGCCTGCTCAGCAAGGCTAACAATGACCCTAGCAACTCCCCCTTTCAGAGGCATAGACCAGTATCGGGTATTGCAGGCTAAAAAAGACCTCAATGACTCCCTGTAACTAAGGGGTGGACCTCTTCTTCCGGTTCAATTTGCATGTTTTCAAAGCCTTTGTTGGGCTACTCAATAAAGCTTAGAACTAAATCCTAATCTAGACATTTTGAATTGAAAAAGCTTCCTGGATAGGAAGAGAAACATCTTCAAACTTCGAAAACAAAGTCCAGTGGTTTGTTTTTTAACTTCTTGGTAAGGCACAGAAAAGAAAAGAAAAAGAAGGTATTAAAAAAAAAAGAAAACGAGGAATGAAGGATAAAAAGAATAAAGGACATTAGAAATAAGAATCAGGAACTAGGAAGGAAAGAAGAAAGGAAGGGAGGACACAAGGAAGCCTGAAAATGTACATTACTTTGAAAGGAAAGAAACAAATGCACAGGAAAAAGAAAGGAAGGAATAAGGGAAGGTAGAAAAGAAAGGGAGGACACCACATTTAGATAATAGGGATTTGAAATAGCAAATGTTTTCTGATTTATCTATAGCTGGAAAAATACTGAAGTTTAATCCCAGAGTCTCAAACACAGGAACCAGGCAGTATGTAGAACCTTGGTTCTATGTTAACATGGCAGCAATGAGGCTGGAGGAACGTTCCTACCAATGTTAAGGCGAACACACTGAATTCACTCATGACTGCAGTTCAACTGGAAGTCTTTCAGGGAGACCCTGACAGCAAAGAGTCAACTCACTTATCTTGTTCACATTCATTAATGTACATTTACAGTTTTACTACAAATTTTTCTAACACCTTAAAAGAAAAAACCTGATTATCAAATATGATTATGCTAAAAAGAATATTAAGTGAATTAATATTAAGAGCAATAAGTTTAGATGCAGCTGACCTTTTTCCGACCATGTTTGTAAAACCTACCTTGATTGTCTCCAGCCCTGCATCGATAATGATGCATTGTTTAGGTGTCAAAGTTTTGGCCTCAGCTCCTCCCTGTGAAAACAGACAAACGTTAACATAAAAAGTTACTCATAAAGAAACACCTATAATAAAACACAAAGGAGAAACAACATCTACATATTAGAAGTGCAGTAAGAAAGAAATTTTTCAGCCTGAAGAATGAGACATACAGCAAAGTATTCACATCTTGTTTAAAACCACAACATTTTTTGATTTAAATCGGCTTCATGTTAGATACAAACTGTACACAGTTTTGTAAGCTGCTAAATGTAAGATCTGTTTTTTTTTTCTAATAGTGAGAGGGTTTAAACAATTTAAAAATTTGTCTCCAATCAAGTCTAATCAATTTTCTCACGTATCTTAATTCTGAAAAGAGGTTAATGGATTCCAAACAAAGGCAGTTTGTATTAAACAAAACAACTATAATAAATTTTTTGGCTTTTTCAAATAAATAATTGAGAACATGATAATTCAAAATAAACTCTAATTAAATCCTAAATAAATGCCTCTCATTTTGATTGATTTTAAAGTTTTTACACTTGTTTTTAAAGCACTTCATGGTCTTGCTTTGCTATATTTAACTGAGATGTTGACCGTACATCGCCACGGGGGAGCTCTCCGGTCCGCTGATCAAAGGGCTCTGGATGTCCCTAGGTTCGAGTATAAACACTGCACCGAAAATGTGGAACAATCTGCCCCTCGGTGTACAGGTTCTCACTGATCTGCACCTTTTTAAATCCAGATTAAAGACTCTTTTTTTTTTTTTTACTGGCTTTTAGTACTTAGAACAAGTTGTTTTATGCTTATGATTTTATTATTATTCTTTCATTTATTTATTTTTTAAACATTTTTATACTTCTGTGAAGCACTTTGGTCTTCCTGGTGTTATTGTAAAGGGCTATACAAATAAAATTTGATTTGATTTTTGATTTGATTAAAGATGTACCTTGAGATTAGAGAGTCCTTTCGCTGCAGTGAGGAGTTGAGCTCCCTGCAAACAGAGAGAGAGGAAGATTAGATTCATCCCAAACATGAAAATATCAAATTGAAGGAGAAGAAGCAACCAGGGAAGGGCAGCAGAGCCCAAAATTCTGTTAATATCCTTTTACCATACACTACTTATGATACAGTTTACATGTTTAAAGCCTAACTTAGATATCACAATACATATTTAATAACGTTTTTAGTCAATCAGAACATACCCAGACAAATATAATTGTTAGGTTTTGACAATTTCAGCTAAGTATATATTTTTCTGAAAACATGATGAACAAAGAAGGAAGAAAAAAGTGGTCATTTTTGTGCAACATTTTGCTTCTGTTCCTCTACCCCAATAATTGGCAGTATTTCTGGTTCATTGTATAAAATCAAGCGAGAAAGTAAAATTCTTGAGTAAAGCATGCGCTCCACTTTGATTCTGATGTTTTAATGTTTCTTCTCTAAAGTAAGTCCCTATAGCAGACGTCTTTCTTTAACTGTATTATTGTACAGGGTTAGAGATGTTTTAAGGTGAGTAAGGACAGGGAAGATTGTTGTCTCTCTCACCAGGCTGTCATTAGACTGAGGCAGGACGACGGTCTTCTCCAGGCTGCTCAGGACAATCTTCCACAGATCCTTTAGGATCCTCTTCAGCACCGTTTTTTCACAGATGTCAGCGAATATGCTGAGGCTGGATTACAAGCAGACGAGACATTGGTGTTTAAAATAATAATAATAAAAAAAAACACTAAAGATTTCTGCCTAAGAAAATATTTAATGGCAGTGCTTTACAAATAAACAAGTGCACTAAGCAAACAACCAAAACTGTAAAATGTGCAGGTAATTTTGCTTGTAATAATTTTTCTTTATTTCCTGTTAAGCAGGCGATCAAAAAAATACATAGCAAAAAAAAAATAAAAAAATAAAATGTTAAGCCCAATTAGGGATGATTCTGACCAGCAGATGGCAGCAAAGTGTAGCATTATTGGGATTCATACACAGCCTCACCAGTTAAAACAAGAATGCTACACAATGTGATATCTGAGCTGCTTTAAGTAAAAAAGTAATAGAGATACCATACTTTTTTTTTTCTTTCTTTCTTTTTTTTTTTTTTTTTGCAAAAGTACGTAATTTAAAGTAATTTAGGGATAACAAGTTGTTTGTAAAAGAACATGAATTTAAGCCAATTTATGTCATGTAAATAAGCCAAATGGCTGCTGGACAGACAAGATATTGACCTTAACTATAAGGCAGAGTGCAGCCGGTTTTAATTGGATAATTTTATCCGCTTATTTCCAGGAATGAAGTCTTTTCCATTATGTTCAGCAGTGCATAGAGAAAGTAATGGACTAACCCCCTTAAAGATTCCATCTGTTTTTGCCCTTTTCGTTACACGAAATATTTTACATCCTTTAACAAATGTTAACACTGTGATGTTAAGACTTTGATATCAGTGTAGTAAAAATCAGACAATTCTGAGGGTTGTCAAGCATAAACACCTCTATTAAAATATTTAATTCCAGACTTTGATAAAGCCACACTAAATCCTTAATTAGTCACTTCATTGACTCAGTGCTGGCCACCAAGTTTTAAGAAATTGAAATTCAAATAGATTTGTCTTTTGCTCTAATAAATTAGAAGAAAAGTGATTAACTTTGAGTAAATTACTGGACTGAATCGACTGTTTATTTCTATATATGAATTGAATCTAAATTGCCTTTAGACAACATTCACTCTGAAACAAAACTATTTAAATAACCGAAGGTGAAATATTTATGTTCTGTTGAGATATTCTGAGCTGGAATTGTTGATGTGCTTGGATTCAGTTTCCTGCAATGTAACCTAGGTCGGCTTGTGTGAAGGTCATGTATGGGTGGCCAGGTACGGTATTCTCTGACAGAGAGCAGAAAATTTGCTTCTATTAATAAGTGCAAGTTATCCTCCTTATTATCCTTCCATCTCCATTTTTGAATCTAAAATGCAGATTGTCGCTAGCTTAACTTGGCTGTAAACATTTTTGCTCTAACTGACCAATCAGCGGACAGAAAATGCTGATGTAGGGGTGGGCTCGCAAGCTGGCCCTGTGAGGCAAATCCAAATTCTGATTCGTTGAAGAAAGCGTTCCTCACTAATATTGTTAAGGCCCTGGGCAGAAGTGATTAACAGTAACGAACTGAGGCTGAAATATGATTAGACAAAAAATATAGCATATATATAGCATAATTATAACACTACATAATTAAGAGAACAGATCGTTTGGAATAAATTAATACAGTTGGATAGAAGAAAATTTAAGTTTAGGTTTTGAATATAGATTAGTGTCTGTGATTGATTTTAGGCCAGCAGTGAAGGCCTTGAAGGCCCTGGCCCGCCACAATTGTAATTTATCATGTGATTAATAACAAATTTACCATTTTCACTAAATATTTCTGAAGGTTGTATTCCTTATCTCTAAATGCATATTTCTAATCAGGCGTTATATTGAAGGTTGCACACAACTTGGCAACTTACTTTCCATCCAGGAACTCCATTAGAGGCCTCAGTGCATTGTCGGCGTCTGTCTCTGCAGTGTTGTGGTTGGGCGGACCTTTCATCTGGTAGAGGATCTCGGCCATCTGACGCATGCAGCTGTTTATGCGATTCTGGAAACTGAAGAGAGCAAAGATTAAGTCTGTAAGCGCCTGCTGCAAGCCACTATTTAGCTTTAGGGTTTAGTTTAGACCCAGGTCCTAAGGGCTGTTACCTTTTAGCAAACACGGCACTAAAGTTGTCCAGGACTGTACTGAGCTTCACCTGAAGGTCGTTGAGGATGTTGGCGGCCTCAGTGTCCAGCTGAAAGATGGGTAGAAATGAAAAGGATGAGAGTGGTGGTAACAGGGTCGTAACTTTGTGATCAGAACCAGAGCCAGAACTTGGCTGCAATGTTACATAATTTTCAGTAGGTGCGGCAGGGTGGCTCTGTCGAGGAGAAACTTAAGGGTTAGTTTCCATGTTTTTTTTGTTTTTTTTTTTTTTTAAGTTTTCTGTCTTAGAGTTATTTTGGAGTTCACATCATAAATGTTTTTTGAAAAAAATAAAACAGCAGGACAGATAACACCATTAAAAACTAAGTTTAGCTTTACATGAAGTTTAGAAAGAAGCTTTTACTAACCATTAGTCATTCTTCAGTAAGTGGACAGTTTGTTTTTAACTTGCATGTAAAATGTCTACTGGTCCATAATTATTATAAAAATATCTAGCAGTTTTTTTCCTAATTTACTGAATATTGTCCGTTTTAAAACAAATGCAGGCCTTCGCAAAGTGGTTAATGCTCACCAAATGTTTCCAGTGTTAATAGCATGCTAAAGTCTGTGAACAGCAAAAGCTTAACCCCTGTCGGCTAATAAAGTGTTGGGTCGTCTATTAAAGTTTACATCAGTAAAAGTTTCCACATCAATTTTAATTCAACCCGTTTATATTTTGCTGCCTGGATGGATTGTATATCTTACAAAAGAAACTCAACAGACAATTAAGCCTGATTTAAACAGCTTGAAGTAAGAAAATATGGCAATTAAACCAGACCATAATGCAGAGACAAACAGCCTTGGTAACCAGGTCACTGTTTAAAGCTAATTACATTTCTTATCTTCAGAGTGATCTCCTGACCCCAACTTTAGGAATAAGTTTATAAAATCAGCAGAAAAACTTCTGTATTTAACTATTTAGTGCCCTGAAATTAAAGTATAAGTAAAGATATGACAGCTGAATCTACTTGACATTAGGTCACTTCTAAAATGAATCATTTACTTATTAAAACAGAGTTATAAAAATTGGGTTGTGAAGCCATGAAGCACTCTGGAGAGTTGAACTCAAAGTAAGGAACAGCATCGATTTGTTTTTGTGATTAATTAAGTTTCTTTCTCTATTTGTTTACCCATGTAAGTTTAATTTCATGCATGCTTTGACATTTTTACAGGGATTTTGAGTATAATGTTGGCAATTGGAAAAGCAAATATTGTTGAGGACATTCTGCAGCAGAAGTTGCTCTTCTCATATGAGCAGAGATTAATGTATGAGCTCTGCCTACAGCGAAGCAGCAGGTCATGAATGTTAAAGAACTGAGAGCCCATCATACATTTAATCTGTGTAGCATTCATAGATGTAACAAGAAAGACAGAAGACAGGCTCTATTTTGCCTCTTCAGAACTTACTGTATTATCTCGTCTGAATGGAGCAATTAAAGAGGTCATTTTCTGAAACTCAAGCGGATCTTCAAAAATGTACCAGAGGATGAAATGAAAACCGTTTTCTTATAACCAGGCATAAACATCCTGAAGTTAGTTTTACTTTCCAACAGAAAAAAACTGAGTAAAAGCTGAACATTCATATATCACAAAATGTTCAGAGACATTTCATAAGAAATCTGTGCTTTTTAAGAATTCTCTACCTTTTACTTTAATTTAGAATATGAAATACATATATTTACTGTAATTTTCAAGCTGGTTTCTTTAGGCTTTAGGGAAGGAAGGAAGGAAGGAAGGAAGGAAGGAAGGAAGGAAGGAAGGAAGGAAGGAAGGAAGGAAGGAAGGAA